AAATCCAAACAAATCATTCCAAGATGGTTCTTGATTGCAATGTCTGCCCCTCTAAGATTGACACAAGTGGTTGCTGACTGAAAGAACGGACTGAAATCAAACTGAAAGAACAAGGATCGTCTGACAGTCTCACGGCTTTCCAGACTTCAGAAAATGGAACTTCGATCGACCCTGGAAGCAGTTCTGGTTGTTCCAAGATGGCGCCAGCTTGAGATCGTTTATATATATATAGCAATTGGTTGGTTGTGGACACATCCACTTGTTTCTGGTTCTTTGGGTGTCCAGGAAGGATAACCAAGGTCGATCATTCATTAATTCGGACCCCATTTGGGACTGGCCCCACATGGTCTATGTCTCCTAAGGTGCCCGGAGAGGTTTCAAGGTTGTCTCCAGGACCATGTGTTTTCTGTGGATCTGATGTATGTTCCTTCAAAAGAGCTATACAGGCTTTTTTATATACATACAAGAACTTGAGCTTCTGGGATGGGAGCCCTGGATGGCAAATGCCTCGCAAAGGGGGTTCCCACTAAGGGAAGGATAGCCGATTGCCTTACAAAGTCAGTCAAACCATAGCTCCTGATCTCACCAAAGTCAGTGCAACCTTTTCCACCATCCACGACTGATCTCGTGCTCGATGCGTTTGAGAACCCATCGATTCGATGGAAGCGGTCAACGAACCCCTAAACCTACCAGGTCCCGACCAAGTCATTGATGTGTATTGGGGTGGTCGTTTCAGGGTTGATGCATATATAGGAAAAACATGTAAAAACAAGATATAGAACTTGAATGACCTCTATTTTGGACCACCAACCACCCAACAGATGCCCTTTTCCTCTCGAAACAGGGGTCTGCACCGATAAACTCTCCTGCCCTGAAGACTCCGGAGGGCAAGTTCGGGCGTGTCGGGAGCCCAGGCGTCCCACTCACTTCGGTGGCGCTGGCGCCCGGGGGTGAATGATACGAAAATACATCTTCGATGGGGATCCAAAAATATATGACAGGGATCCAAAAAGGCATCCCACTGAGCAATGAAAGGGAAGAAGAGGCTACGGAAAGGACAACAGCAGGGTCGCCCAGCCACCAGAGGACAATGAAGGCATGTTCACACAATCAAAAAACTTAGGCGAGGGCGTGCAATATTTGAATGTGTGGTGTGGAGATGCGATCGGGGACCTTGCAAAAGTATGTCATGGCAGGCCCAGTGCGTTGGCAACAGTAGTGCAGATTTCGTGGCGCTGGAAGGGTGTTGGGGGGAAGGGCGCCTCCCCGCAGAGCGAAGCAAACATCATCAGGCTCAAAAGGCACCACAAATTAGATCATCATCGAAAACTACATCAAGGGCGCTCAGACAGTGATGCGAGGACCAAGGCAACCAGGTCGCGTTTGGTTTTCGCAAACCTCCGGCTTTTTGACCCATGGACCATGAGGCCGGCAGACCAGGACAAGGACCAGGAAAGGGACCAGGGGGCCAAGGGGCCAAAGGACCAAGACCAATGGCCTAGCGGACCAAACAAAGGAAGGAAGGGACCAGGGCCTTACTCAGGATGATTTTGTTTGATCTTGCTCTTACTGTATTTGATTGATCCTGGTGTTTTTCAATCCTGTTTCTTTCTTTTGATCTCGATGCCTGGGCGCTCCTCCTCTGCCCGGTTCGGTGCCGAGGGGCCACAACGAGACGCGGATCCATCCCTCGCAACCACAAGCGCTGACGTTTGTCCTCGGTGCGTTCGCCGGTCAGTGGTCGGTGAGGAGAGCAGCGGTCGGCCGTGGTTTGGAGATCCCAAGTGGTGCACGTGCCAAAGAAATGAGTATTTCAGCGTCCTTGCAATCCATTTGAAAGGTGACAGAACATCGAATCACAAAGAACTCAACGTGCCCTTTTGAGTTAAGGACTCCAATTTTGGACCTCTTCCTTGTGCCAGGTCCTTCTCGATGTTCGAGCTAGTCATTTGCACCTTCGATCCGAATGATGCCAATGAAGAGAACCCCAATCCATTGGGCCGCAGCAGGCGCCGCGGGGCCGCGTGGTCCAAACGGTTTGGTGTGTTCGCCGGGCGGAGGCACCAAGCCGAAGGGCCATCCGTTGGACTCGCAACGCCGAACGACTATTCGTGCGGCGCAGGGAAGCATCCGAAAGCACGACGATGGTTCTGCAGAACAAGTCTCTAGCCCAGATTGTGGATGGTCCTTGGCACACCGGATGTCATTTGCTATACCTGACCATACCTACTGTGCCTGGTAAAAGGGAGTCGGTCTGCGGAGGTTGTGTTACGGTCTGGGGGTCTAACAGGCGAGCCCTCGGTGTTCCTCTTCGACTGATCCGGACTGTCAGCCATTTAGGACTTCAGTACACCAGGTCCACTTGGATGACCAAATGATTGGGGGAATCATGCGGCAACCACACTTCTTCCCTAATCACAAGATGGTGACCTCTTAGCTTTAGTGACAGGGTCCCCGATACGTCGATACCGTCGGCATCGGTGGAGCCAGAGCTGCTGGAGCTTAACCGGAGCTGAACCGGAGCTGAACCGAGCTGAGCCGGACCCCTGGGGCCCCCCCTGGGCCCACGGGGGTGGGCTTTCCTTTTGCTGGGTTCAAGACTTTTGATATACACACCCACTATATGTAGACGGTTGACGAATTAAAAAGGAAAAAAACACAAACAAACATCGATTGAACAAAACCTCTTCAGGCTGTGTCAGGCTTGAGACTCAGCACAAAGCACACTCAAATGAATCTAAAACTCATCCAACTTGCTGGTCCAACTTGCTGATAATTCTGTTGGAACCATGTGGAGCCTCCTTTGTTTTGGATTCCAGCAGAGAATGCTGAATGCATCTGAATGCTGAAGGTAGCTCACAGGCGGAGAAGAAAATAAATCGAACTTGCAGTGGCAAAAGAGTCTCCGTTACAAGAGAAATACCCGGTTTCGACATGCTTTGGACTGAGGCTCCTCAGTTTTGTCCCAAGCACGGAAAGTCTTCACCATCTATAAATTCACCATCTTCCACTCACTGCATACACCCAGCCAGACAGAGGGTGGATCACCGCTTTTCATGCAAAATCTGTGTCAGCAATCCCAAGCAAATCTGTTAGAAAAACCACCAGATCCAACGGTCCCAGTCGCGTGCGGCATGTGGCAAAAACCACATTGGGCTCCAGCATTACAGAGCCCTTGTGAATAATACAGACAGGGCCTGGGCTCGGGGCAGAACGCTTTGTGAAGACTGGGGGCGTGGGAAACCCAGGGTCCCTTTCGGACCCCCACTGACACACTGAAAGACCCTGCCGGAACCTACAGTGGAAAAGGGTATTGAGATGTAGAGTCCAGACCCCTGCTATGGAGTGTCCGACAAGGGTTCCTAGTGTGAGAAGAACAAAAGAAAAAGAAGGTCCCTGCTGAAGAACCTTGGAACGCCAAAGATTTCTGATTCTTCCAAACGTGTCTCTTTGTCTGACATCTCCTCACGATGCTGGAACTCTGCAGCGGACCCCACAAAAACTCTTGCCCTGAAAAGGATAAAAAGTAAAACACACAACTTCGACGACTCCAAAAACGACCGCCCCGCTCGGTCGGCGCCTTCCGTCAAAAGTTCCTGTGATGTCATTCCGAGGTGCTTTGGCTTGTAGTTTTGGGGCGTGAGAAGAGTAACATCGCCCCAAACTGGGCGATGTTACATCTTCCCCAACACCCCCATGCCTCTTTCTCCACTGTTTTTGGTGGTCAACACCTATGGGTCTCCGTCCTCAGACCCCACTTCTTCTACGAAGCACCCAGGTTCCAGCTCCGAGTGGCTTGCGACAGATTTCTGGATGACCCCAACTGCCAGGATTGGAGAGTGCCACTTGATGCGCTGCACATGACATGCGCACCCATGACCAGCCCCACCAAGGGCGGAGACGAAAAGAAGGGAACGAGGCCGGCGGGTATGTAGCGAAGGAGCTACCGCTGAGTGTGACCGGCGGAGTCAAAGGCCGGAGAGACTGCTGTCTGACAGCGGGTGAAGTTGGTGGTGGAGAGTGGTGCAAACTGCTCTGGAGCAATGAGGATGCACATGGTTTGACAAGATAATGATGGTGACAAACACCTTGAGCCATGAATTTGCGGTGCCGGCAGGCAATGTCCATCTGAACGCTGGATGTTGACTTGCGCTATGATAATCCTCCTCAAGTCGATTCCATATGGATCGGTTCCAAACAAATTGTCACCTGTCCTGGAACTCCAAATGAGCAACAAGAAATGTTCCCACAATGAGAGTCGTGAGTAGAGGTACATGAAACTGAGTATATAAGTAAATAACATGAAACAACCGCTCTAGATTGTTTGCTGGAACTGTCCAGCTTGCTCTCAAACACCTGCTCCAAAAATGCGCCTATGGATCACCTGCCTATATTATATATAACATATATCATATATATATATAGATATATATATATATAGCCGTCAAGTCTTTTTTAAGTTGCGGTTTGCTTCAAAAACCTGTTTCGAACAAGCGTCGAAACCATATGTCCCAAACAACACGGTTGTCAGAGCGGATGAAAGCGGAGTCTTGTTCAAAAACGGATCTTGCTCATATGATCGCTCATTGCGAAGAAAATCTCTTCCGTTCAAACAGCTCTCAACGTGTTGTGAACGGCTCCTCAGTCTTCGAAGGCCTCACCGTTCGACCCGATCACGAGCTCCATGTTTTCGGGTTTGACGTGCTGAACATCCCAAAGCAAACGGGGTTCTTATCAAAAGCCCTTTGGGAGTCCAAAACGGTCTGGACTAGGTATCTTTAGGTGACCATCTAAGGAATTGCCTTTACTTCGGTGGTCCCAAGAAATAGTCGTTGGACTTCTAAGGAAAAGTGAACTGCTAGACTCCCCAAGCAGTTGGTCCGTTTTCAGGCCATCCACTTCCGCTTCCGCGCTGAAACCGACGAAACCGACGCGAGAGGCTCGGTGTCGCCGCGGGCTGTCGCGGTCCGCCCGGCGGTGCCCGTCCCGAGCCACCCGACAGCCATGCAGCGGAGCTGGAGATTGCCGCGCCCCCGCGATCTGATCGGCACGGGGGCGTCAGACTCGGTCGTCGATCCCCGTCCGAGCCGGTCGTCGATCGCGGCGAGGGTCGTTGGATCCGCGCTGGATCGACCCGAACAAAGCATGGGATGACTGTGCCCCTCCATGTGGCTTTTTGGGGGTTCATGTGGCTTCTTGAAGTCTTTCTAAATGCTGCTGTGACCCCCACCCAGACTGGTGTCGGTGTCAGGGCCCAGATTAGGTGAAGCCGAGCAGTTCCCGAACTGCAACTGGAGGATTTGGAGGATTTGGAGGGTGAGTTTGGGTCGTTGAGGGATGCTTAGAGATTCGAAGCTATGGAGATGTTTGTTGATCAAAACGGCATTGCAGATGAAGATCTATAAGATCCAGAAGACCTACGAGGGCCTGGCCTATAGAGGTGATCTTCCTCGCCCAAATGATCCAAATCAAAGATCCAAAAGAAGATCCAGTGATGAAGAAGTGGGTTTCCTTCAGGAAGATCCAACAGAGCGCCCACCGTGCGGAAGGAGCGCCCACCGTGCACTGAGCGCATCCCCACCGGTGGGAGCGTGTCGCGTCCAGCCACGAGTTCGGAGTGTTCGGAGAGTTCAGGGACATTTGGAAACAAAGGCCAGTCAGTCCCTAGGGCCTCCAGTCGTAGCTTCGTTTCGAAGGTGGGACTGGGGTGGGTAGACTTGGAGGGTCCAAAATACCTTCTGAGGAGGTACGACTGGAGGTGTAGGGAGTTGAAGGGAAAAACCCACAGCGGTCGGAGATCAAACCCCGACACGACGGTGTCCGCACAGCTTCCGCTGTCCGAACACCCGCCTCTTGAAGCTGGCTCCACCACGCTCTTGTGCCACCGCGCGGGGGCGCATGATCATCTTGAAGGGCACGTTGCCTACCCACTGCGACGTCACGGAGTAGTGTCACGCGATCGTTCGGACTACTCCGTGCCAGCACTCCGTCCTTCGGCGAAGTCGGGGGCGAAGATCGCCAGCACTCCGTGCCACGTCGACGCCCAGGCGACCGGCCGCGTGGCGCCGCTCTCGGGCCTCCGGAAAAGGAGATTTCGAACTGCGGGGAGACCGCCTCTTTGTCCGTACTCTTCAACTTCCTGCGCGCCGGGCAACCCGGACCCCGGACCCGGACCGGTCCTTTTTGTGGGCAACAAACATATATATATATATATATATTAACCTCTTTTGGCGGGGCGTGGTGTGGCCGATGCTGACTTGGGACAAGCATGAAAGGGCTTTGGGGGAGTTCTCGGCCAAGACATCTGGAGTGCTTTGTAGTAGTTCCCAAGCACGTGTCCAAATGTCCAGCCGGTGTGCAAACCCTTAATCTGGGGCACTTTCTTTAGCTCTGACAGCATTCTGGTCAAACCCAAAAGCACACAGATTCAGCATGACCACTGCACGTTGGTTGGTTGGCTGGTTGGTTGGTTGGTCGGTCGGTCGGTTGGTTGGTTGGTCCATCTGTTCGTTGGTTGGCTTGTCTGTCTGTTTGTTGGTTCCATCCATGTTGGAAGTTCCATAATTGCTTTGTCTTTTCAGGTGATTCATGGATTCTGCATAAGAGTGAGGATGGATCAATCCTCTTCGCATTCGATCTCTGGCTCTTCAGACCCAAAAGGACTGCCGAGACCATGCTGCTTGAGGGCCCCCCTGCCCCATGCCCCCTGCCCGCACCAAGCACTCCCCCAGGTTCTTGGAGGCTCGTGGCACCCGATGCAGTTTCTTCGGGTCCGTTGAAACTCAGGGCCTTCTGCGCTGAATGAGATCTGCGCTGAAGACTTACGTGTCAGCATCGTTGTCTCTGTTGTCGTGTTCTACGGAAACACCTCGTGCGCCGTTTCGCCAAACGCGCACTTTCTGTTCGTCTTTGGATGGCTGCTGGCGAAGTGAGAATGGATGCATTTCTCGTGAAGTGTCTGCTCCAAATAAGCCAAGTGCCTGCACTTCATGCGTGCAGCAATTCTGCAAATTCTGTTGGTGTGTTGGCTCCAAAGGTACAGGTAAGGGTAAATGTCACTCGCGTCTAGTTCAACCAAGAAAGAAAGTGCCATCGGCGCCAGATTCCCACCAGTGGGTGCATTGACCTTAAAACATCTTAAATTATATAAAACCAACCCTCCTCCATGTCTGAAGACTTTGCCTGAACCACCTGTCACACCCAAAGAACCCTGCGAGTTCACACCACTTTCCCAACAAAAGTCCACCACTTGCCCTTCTGACACTTCTCTCTCTTTCTCGGTCCTCTCACACTCCCATGACCGCGGACCGCTCCTGGCATCTACCGTCCATCGGATGCGATAGATGTTCGTGGCCAGGCTAAAGGTGCGTTGGAGCACCTCGCGCGCGTGGTCGATCCGCTGCCTTGGGGCGCCCTTGGTGTCGGGTCTGACACCGGCCCAGAAGGGAGTCGAAGGGACGCCCAGCCGAATGGGACTCTCTCACTACATCCCACATCCAAGACCTTCTTTGGGGATGTGTTGTTCAGCGCCTTCAGAACAAACACTCATCGAAATGTTGGAGCTTTGAAAGCAACATAGAACGTCACTGAAAAAGAAACTTCGGATGAAGAGTTTCCTTGAGAATGCTGATGAATAAACAATACCAAGATTGAAAATGCACCATTACCATTCTGTTAGGGGGTTATTCATCAATAGTATACAGTAAGGCTATCGGAGGGTAGGGATGCCCATTCTTCACTCACTTAGGGGCTAAAGAGAATTCCTTTGGAACCTGCTGATTGATAAGACGTCGCCGTGTCCGTTCGCTTCACACGTCGCCTGAAGTTGACAGCTCCCCATCCCTCTCCCCACCTGTGCTCGCTTGTTGTCTGCAGTGGTCGTCACTCCAAGCGGCGTGAAATCTGGCGACGGTGTCCGCTCTGGGCAGTAGTGGTCCGTAGACCATCTGCTCAAGTTTGATTGGAGTGGTAAAATAGATCCTTCGACCTATGGCCAACAGCACCTACAGAAACAAAAATACGATGTATCTGGAAATCGTGTCCTGCTGCATCTTTTGTGGCACTCCTGTCCCCAACTCCTGTGCCACATGCAACCGTTCTTGCTGACAACTGGTGCAGGACTCCAGCCACAGTAGATTCATGTAGGGCAACCAAGGCGTGCCAAAGCTAAAAAAGAAGGTGGCTGAGGCCCAAGGCTCCTGGCATCCGTAAACCTGAAGGAAAGACCCACATGCTCGGCACCACAGGCTCAATACCGGCATGGAACCCAGTCCCAAACGCTCTTGTTGGGATCTTTTGCCCCCTTGAATCTTTCTGCCAAAGTGATCACTTTCACATGGCAACGCTTTCCCCAGACCATCCGAGACCCTGAACGCAGTGCTTAGCAGTTCAGGGGCCGTTCACATGTTCACCCCGTTTTCCCGCTTTCGCCCGTCCGTCCGTGGTGATGCGTGGTGTCTTCTTCCGGATCTTGTAGGATCTGACGACGCTCTTTGACTCTCAAAACCTCCAGCTGATCACACAGATGTCCCCATCTTCCTGACGTCTAGATGTCCCCATTCGCTCCAAAAAACACCCGCGACTAGCTGGTCTAACCCGACCCTGGAAGCAAAGTCGAATGGGGAGCTACCCTACACTTGGACCAACAGCCCGGGTTTGGGGACGGAAACCCGGCCCAAAAGGAGCTACACCCATCGGAAGAGACTCACATGGAACATCATGGAAAAGACTGGAAGACTAGTTTCCTCAAGCCTCAACCCAGCAGTTTTCAGGTTCTATGTGAAGTCCATTTTCCAGGGTGTCCCCTCCGAATCCTTTGGACCTCATATATGGTAAGGGACCCGACACTCAGAAAGCCGCAGAACTGTGACGGGCCGGCCGATTCTGCGGAAGGAACCACGTCTCTTCCTGCAAACCCAGTCCCCAACTAGTCCAAAAACCAACCATCTAGTCCAATCCAGTCCCCCCAGTCCCCCCAGTCCCCAACTAGTCCAAGCAGACCTGTTTCTGGCTGGGACTGGGATCGAGTTGAAGGTCCAAAAACCTCTCCTTAAAACCGGAGAATAGGCTGATCGCCCGCCTGGCAAACCACCTTCCGGAGCCGGAAAGCGGCCGAAGCGGTCCATGGGCACGGCGAAGCAGCCTGGATCGGACACGTGGTGGAGACGTGGTGGAGACGTCCTGACCAGGGGAAGAGAGGCATCAGTGCCAGGTGCCTCCCCTCCTAGCACAACAGGAACTTAGTGGGAATGTCCTCCAACCTATTGCTCATGGCCTCCAACCGTTTTGCAAAAGGAACCTAATTAGTAGGATTGGCCTCCAACCTAACAGCAAGGGTGAAGAAAACCCCATACCGGGTTTGGAGATGCAAAACCAGTCGAAGGTGCGGCAAGAACCGTTCTGCTGATCTCACTTTCAATTTAAGAAAGCGACATACTTCATGGGCGACAGTGCTGCATCTCGCAGCAGCCACGAACCATCGAGTAAAGGTGGTTGATTCTCTTGTCCCAAAAAAACGGAACCATCTGTTGCTTCTTGTGCTGAAAAGGAGTACGTCTTTTTGCAATGACCTCGTGTTGTGTGTGCCAAACCTTCAAATACCTGGAAGGTGCCGACCTCCGGCTTTCAGCACAGGTGGCCGATCACGGTCCCACGACGGCGATGAACTCACAGCAAGCACTACAGGTCACCCGTCTAAGCGTCTGAAAGCGCCTGAAAGCGTATTCGCATCGATCTTTGGGGACGAAGAAACGCATTGTTCAGAATAGACCTGGGTGAAGGACTCGGATCTAAAGGTGAAGGACTCGGATCTAAAGGTGAAGGACTCGGATCTAAAGCTCCCTCCAAAACTCGGGAAAACCCCCCCAGATCTTCACCTACAGTCGACAAAAGGGCTCTCTTGGGTCGTTGCTTTCATCGAAGCTTCTCTTTTCTTCGCCTCTGTCGAATCATCGATGTGGGACGTAGTTCAATCCTCAGATAGAACGTTCTATCCTCCCCAAGCAGTCTGTCAAGGATCGGTCAAGAAATCGCTCCCTCTTTTTGGGCCCAAGCGGCCATTTCAGGCGACGCGGGGCTTCCGTGGCGCCACGTGAAACTCTCCGCGAAGCCGGGCGGCCTGGGTACATGTCTGGCTGGACGGGCATCACCAAGTCCATGGGGATGAACATCATTCCACAGGGCGCCTAAACGGTGCACACGGTCTGGGGGACGGAAGCCGGGAGCTTATAGGTGGGTTTACAAATAGGTCCAGGGTTTAAATTGGTCATCACTCCACATCATCACTCGAACACCTCACCAGATGTTGCGTCGTTGCCCTTCTTTCAAGGCACGAAAGAACACCTACAGCGGCCAAGCGAACCCAGCCAGTGGAATTGGAAACGGTCGATTGCACTTTTTCAGTGAAGGCCCCAAAAAACGATTTACCCAAAATGGACTTAACATGATGTTACAAACCCACAGTCTTGAAGTATTGAGCCAGTGAGTTAAGACAGGCGGAGTTGGATGGTGTGGCTCGTCCCATCCCTTTCGGGGCCGAGCCACATGTGATGTGATGGTTCGGGGCTCCCCTCGAGCTCCTTCCTCCTTTCTTCGGGCGCCCTCCACCCCGATCGCTCTGTGAGTTGATGTTCGGGGGTAGAAGGCTGATGTGGAAGGCCCTAAGTGACCCCACGCACCGAGGTGCCCAGCTCTCCTTGTGGTGGAACAAGCACATCAACCAGCGCACCAACAAGGGCATGTAACAGCTCGGCGCGGCTGTTCGCTTTCGGACGAAAGGGTGTTCCCTGGAAAAAACGGCAATTGAGGCAAAAGAAGGTGTTTGACGGTGTTGGATCTCTTTTTTGAGCCGTCATCGTTCCTTCTTTTCTTGGGCTGAAACATGGGGGAGGAAGAGGGAGCATGGTGCCCGAGCAAGTGCACAAAAAATCACCTTCCGCAGGATGACACTCGCACTCATATGAAGAGCTTATTCAAATGAGAGTGGTTTTAATCCAGAGTCTACTTGAAACCAAGGTGGTCATCCCAATGTCTCAAACTCTCGTCTTCCAAATCATCATCGGACTCTCCAAATGGTCCGGGGTCCAGCGACTTTTCCGCTCGGCGATCCTCGATCCGGTCGCCCATCCGTCGATCTCAAAGCTGGATGGTGAATTTCTTATTGAATTTTGGTCATCCAGTCCACCATGTTCCATTTCCTTGATGCATTAGATAGAAAATGGTGGACAACGATAAGATTATTATGATGAAATTTCCATAAACCAAAAGTAAGAAATAATACAGGAAATGTCATCCTCATTAATCTATAACTTATATGTTTGCTTTCTGTCTGAGCGATTGAACGGAAGGAATGTGTATTTTACAGGATCAGCTCTAATAGTACTAACTACCTAGCTAACCCTGCTAGTCCGGTAAGCGCTACCTTTTGCTCTACCTTGAGAGTCAACGCTACGGGGTCCATGGGGATGAGGTGAATTTCAACACCCCCCTTTACAAGGAGCTACCCGTAGGGAAAATCTCGGGGAGGATCAAATTCTAGCGACGAAGGAATCATATTAGAAATCCCTCATCAAGCTCGTGCATGCACTATACAAGGAGAACGTAGCTACCCTAATGTACAGTTTTCGCCTCACTCGGCATGTGGTTAAACATGCTAGGCCCAGGTTAGTGTTAAGCATTGATTAAAAGTTCACTCTCCGACTATGGCAATCCTGTTATGGATGCATTGGGAAGTGAGACAATGAAGTGAAACATCATCTCACAGCGCGTCAGAAGGTGAGCTTTATCTCAACACTCATAAGCTGCAAGGCATACCATTTATGGTAGCTATTCAACATCTGCTTAAAGAAATTGTATTCCAAAACGCTCCGTCTCGTCATGCCATCCCTGCCTCAACCACTCCCACAATTCCATGTGATTGGGCCAATAGTTCTCGCCCCATGGGTCATCGCGTTGCCATTGTACTCCAGGAAAATCAAAGGGTTCCAATGGTCGATCAATAGTTCCACGAATGCTGGAAGTCGGCGGCCCAGTTAAGGGTGCATTATGTGACGATGATGCCGAAGCGGATGAAGTTCCGGGTGGCAATGGCGGCGGTGGCACGTTTTGTACATTCCATTGCTGTGGAGCATAAGGTCCTCCTCGAACACTCACCTGCTGCTTATCCTTGCCCTTTCCTTTTACGGAAGGTTGCAACCGACTGTAAAGGTCTGTAAGCGGCGGCGGCTTCGGCGTGAGATTGAAATCTGTCGGCCTTGTATGTACCGGAATGCCACTGGCTGTATTGGGTGGCACTTTCGGTGGAGGAACCTTTGGAGGAGGCACCTTTGGTGGTGGGACCTTCGGAGGTGAAGGTTTTGCTGGACGTGGCTTGGAGATTGGTGAAAGGCCAGTTGCAGGTGGGTTGTTGGGTGCTGGTAACGGTGGCGGTGAAGTTGGGGGACCCAAGAGGTCCTTGGGGATGTTGCCACGTTTAGGTGGAAGGACACGGCTCTGGGAAATTGCTCGGGCGACAGAACCACGCGGCGTCCCTTTTGCGGGAGCGGCTGAGCCTGCTGCCGAAGAACTGCCTTGGCCTTTGCCCTTTCCAGAAACATCTCTTCGTTCACCGACATCCTGTTTAGAGGAGTCACCCTTTCCTGAAACTTGTCCTTGAGCAGGAGGTGCATTCATACTGAATACCGACGAGGTATGCGTCCCTGTTACGGGAGCTGGCGGCTGAGGCACGCCTGGCGGTGGAGTCCGGTTGTCAACCCAAGTTGCAATACGACCAGATTGATCTCGGTCTTCTTTCCTCCTCCACTGCAGCCTCGGTCGTTTGTCTGCATCTCCAATAGTCTCCATATACATCTGCGATCGCTTCCGCGTCAACGGGGGCCTTGTTACAGGTCCTTGAGGAGATGGGGATCCACGCTGTCCAAACTCCAACAAAAGTTCTTCCAACCTTCTGACTTCGTCAGATGACATGTCCTGGCCACAATCGGCAAACTTGGGATAAGGCGTGGCCATGCGCTGTTCGATGTTCATGAAGCCCATCTGTGAAACTGGCTGTCCACGATCGCGTCCCTGCACATTTGCAGACTGTTGCGCGTTTCTCTGATATTGAATGTTTGCATAATTTTCATTCTGCTCTGCAAACTCACTCAAAATCTTGTAAATGCCTGTCGTGTCTCCACGAGGAATACGAATTGAATGAATATCGCCATAGACGTCCGTCGTGGGGATAAAGCCCTGGATCTTGATCTCATCTCGGCTATCGCCAATTACGGCGGCGTATTGTCGGAGTGACATAAACTCTCGGCGATAACTGATCAGAAAGTTCTCGTCGACGCCTTGCTTGAAACAGGTATGTAGGTTGTCAACACCGCATCGAATATACGCGAGCTTGGCGAGGTCAACCCTGTCCAGTCGATCCAAATCACTGACAACCGACTTCCCTTTTGATCTCTGCTTCGCTGATCTCGTGGGTGCCGGTAATTGCAGTGACGCAAACAAGTCTTCTTGCGCTGCATCAAACGCTGTGCATCCTTCTCCGGTTAAGGAGGTGGCGAAGACGTCGTCGCGGTTGAATCGATCGAATACATTCTCATACCCTGATTTCAATGCTTTGCGAAGGCGACTGCGAGCTGCAAGAATAATCTGACTGTCAACTGACGGGCTGCCACGAGCTGGAGGTCGTCCAGACTGTAGGTCCTGCGCGGCAATGCTGTCAAGCATGCTTGTTGCGGTCATGTTCTTGGGCACGCCCCCCTGCTCTTGTAGCACCTTTGCACGCCTCCTCTGAAGTCGCATAAACTTTGAAATCGGTCCATCTGTTGTATTGCTCTGAAATACTACTCCGCATCGATGACAAGATGCCATTCCTGCTAAGGAAAGTGTCGTACATTTATCGCAGCTGAAAGTTCGAAGATGTAGAAAATATCCACTCTCGATCTGTGGTACAGCTGTATCGCGATTTGCCTCCATCTCTTCCTTCTTTGCGGCACTGCTGCTAGCTGTGCGTTCTTCGGGAGTGGCGTCGCTGGTACCTTCCAAAATGGTGCGTACTTCCGACACTTTTCCCGGGACCAATGTCACATCATCTTGCGGAACACCGATCTCAATGTTCGAAGGATCCAATGCCTGCGGCCTCGAATAGAAAACTTCTGGCTCCGCATTTGCGCGGGCTCGAGTTGCAAATAGAATACACGTATTCGGAACGTGATGGCTGGTAATCACCGCGCCAGAATTTGTGAGGAAAAGATCAACTCCTGCTTCAATCACATCCGGTGTTGAAAAACAAATCTCCACTGGTCGGTCAGCACGAACACCAGATATCGCCTTCTGGTTTCCCAGAGGTTGTGTTGAAAAGAAGGAATTGCCTTTGCTTTTCGGCCCACCGGCTCCACCGCCGGGAATGAGCCCGCTCGCAATAATGGATCGCGCAGCACCTTCATGCGTTCGGTGGTAAAGCCGAGGTGGTATATCGCGGTTCCCGTGCGCTGTCAAACGAGCATTGTACCTGTGTACATGGTCAGGACGGCAGTAGATTAGTACTGCTAGCACTTCATTTGATCGCGTCTCGAGAACGTCATCGGTGTGGCCTTGTCCACATCGGATCTTGACGGGGGCGGCGAAAAGTTCGAGCTGCTCGTTCACACGAGAGTCGTACACGCATTGAAATTCGAAACGATCTTTGTTGTCATAAATAGCCATCGAAATCAACTCAAAAACATTCATAGAATCAGCATAATCAGGGAATTTGGCCTTCGCCAAATCTAGTAGTTTGTAAATTGGCAAATAACACGCCGGATCATAAATACTGACGTCTGGGACGTGTCCACGAAGAAGACCAGAAATACCGCGACGAACATGATGTGGCCAGGAGCAGCACCACTCCCAAGACCCATGATGATAATCCTCATATACATAATAATACCTATGGCCAGTAACGTGGTACAGCACGTACTGCTTGGCGTCGCGGCCCAGCTCATCCTCGAGGAGTTGGATGTTGCCATTCCCGATGGCCTTGAGTAGGTGATCCGGGTAAGGATACCTTCCGAGAACCTCTTCAACCTCGACCTGCATATTTTTGTACTCGGGGTTAGGCTTCGTCTCGCGAACGAGAACGCCCTTCCCTTTTCCAGAAAATTTCAAGTCGGGGTTGTCGTTGTTCTCAGGTGCAAGAAAGCTCCCCGTTACGGGAGCG